GTCTCTGCCTTGGTTGGCAGGAGAAGGGGGTTATTGACGTGCTTAGCAATGGGAACTTAGTGGCTGAGGGTAAGGACAGCAGACCCGTTGGTTGGTGTTCCTCCTCTGCACTCTGGATGCCTTCCACTTCCCTGAGACAGTCCAGCTGTGCACACCTGGGACTGAGAGCATGGCCAGAGAGCAGGACCACAGTGTAAAACTACAGCCAAGAGACTCTGCTCTTGGGATGGCTGTGTGGACAGGGAAGAGGTCCCTGGAGATGACTGTCACCTTGTGACCACAGGCCAACTGTCACTGACTCCATCATTGAAAAGCCGTGTGACTTGGATAGTTCCCGTTACTTCTCTAAAGTTGTTCCCTGCTCTTCAGTGGGCACATGGGTGCTCTCTCCCCTTTATGTGCAGCTTTGCAGACGGTGACGCTCAAGAGTTACCTTACTAACGTGCCTAGCTATTTTTATGTGCAAAGACCTTTTCCAATCTAAAAGGAAACTTTCCCCAGAAGAAAGCCAACTATTTGCTTGTGTCCTGACTTTTGTGTCTTCCTCTTTTTTTAAATTCATTTTTTATTTATATATGACAGCAGAATGCATTACAATTCTTATTACATGTATACAGCACAATTTTTCATATCTCTGGTTGTATACAAAATGCATTCACACCTATTTGTGTCTTCATACATGTACTTTGGATAATGATGTCCATAACATTCCCCCATCATTTCTAACCCCATGATGAAGCACATACACCATGAACTTTGCCAGAATCACCCACATTTGTGACAACTGAGAGGATTCATTGGCAGGGGCACCACGACTTCCTCTAAAGGAGAAAGAAAAGTCAGGTCCTCCCAAGGTCTAGAAGAATCCGCCCTGGGTTGTGTGAGGATGAGGGTGAGTCACAGAGAATATGCATGGCCCACAGAGGGCTGGGTGCGGCCTCTCTGGAACCCGGATGGGCTCGCTGTCTGGCTGTACCATGAAGAGAGGCTCGGAGGACCTTTCTCCCTCCTCTTCATTTTTCCTGCTGACACATACCTTATTTAAAGTGACACAAATTCCACTCACTGTCTTTGAGAATGATTGTCTGGGGGAAAAAAAAAACAGCTTGTTTTATTTTCTGTACTTTAAATCCTCCTAATCCACTCTCGCTTGGCTGGGAGTGCCTCCTGGTATAGAGAAGTTGCCGGTGCCGACTCCTGCCACCCCTGCCCACCCCTGCCAGCTGCAGGCCAGACTCATGCTTCTTGTGGGGGAGGGGGCTCCTGACCCTCCCGAGTCCATCAGGAAGACTCCTGGCCCCCGCAGGCTTGGTCAGTTCCCTGAGCTCCTGGTCCTCCTCTTTGTTCCTGCTGCAGGAGCAGCCAGGTCCCTGCTCCCTGTGCATGGGAAGGGGGGTTCCTAGAAGGCCCCTTCTCCGCGCCCTCTGATTTCCCTGTGGAAGTCTCTGGCAGGGTCTGTAATTCCTCCCTTGACCTAGCTGGACTCTCTTATGTTGGGCCGTTGACTCAGTTCCTACCTCTTAGCTTCTCCAAGAGAAAGTGCTCGCTGTCACAGAGCTCCACTCAGTCCTTACAGGAACCCACAGAGCAAAAGGCTCTCACACTCAGGCATGGTGGTTCCTGAGGGGTGAGTGAAACCTTCCCACCCCTCCTGCCATGTTGTCCATCTTCAGAGGAGCGAGGCTGAGGCTGGACCACATGCTTCCCATCACAGGAGCAGACTTCAAACAGAAGGCTGACTGACCCAAGGTGCCCAAATGATGTGCATAGCAACATGTCTGCATGAAGTCCTCTGTGGCTAAGGGCAACTCCAAGCACGTGACCATTTCCGCGCCAGTGTTATTTTTGAATGCCACACCTGCTATCTAACTGCAGTTAGAGAAGACCAACCCTGCTGCCCACCCACCATGTAGACAGGGAAGATGAGACACCAGGAAGCTAAGGTCTGGGGGCCCCCAACCTAGCAAGGTGAACCCAAGAGATCTGACCGTTGGGGCCATGAGTTAGCCAAAGTTCTTCCCCTGCTGTGCAGGGCCATGTGTAGGATCCTGGGCCCACAGCCACCTGCTCTGATGGATACAGGTCCCATTTCCTCTATGTTTTTACACACACACACACACACACACACGTTGGGTCTTTCTGTGAGTTTTGCATTTGTGAATGCAACCAACTACAAATCAAAACTCTTTCCTCCTTCAAAACTGTGTCTGAACTGAATGTAAATGTTTTTCTCTTGCTGTCTTTCAATAAACAATACAGTAAAGCCACTGTAGCAGGTACAATATATTAGGTATTTTTAAGAACTCCAGAGATGTGGGAGGATACAGGAGGATGTATCTAGATTATATGCAAACACTATGCCATTTTATATCAGGGGTTCAAGCACCTGTGGATTTGGGGTCAGGAGCAGAGCCCGGGAGACTTCTGTGTGAGCACCTGGGGTTGGACACTGGACCTGTTCCCACTCCCAGGGCCCTTCTCCAGAGGGTACAGTTAGGAACGGTGATTCATCCAACTTTGTAGAACCCTGGACTCTACTCTGGGGCATCTTGGAAAGAGGAGGAACCAAGAGTCCCTTCCCCACCAGAGGCTGTAGTGCATGTGGCTTCAGGACCCAAGAGGAGGTGGCCTCTGGCAGGTGAAGGCCAGGTGAGCTGCTAAGGTGCTCTGGGAAGCCCAATCACCTGTGCATGCTTCTCCCTCTGTCGTCCAGGGAAAGGGCCAGACTCCAGCCTCTGCTCCCCCTGCCTCAGCCCAGGTCTTCAGATGCCTTTCATAGTGCAAGGAGAAGGCATCGCGTCGCCCAGTCAACCTTTGGGGAGTTAGGGATGGCATCCAGAAACACTGGCCTCACACAGGGGCTTCTGCAGGTTAGGCCAGAGAGGATGGGAGGATGCACAGGCCACGGCTTAAAAAAGAAAGACACAGACACGTCTGGGAAATGCGAAGCTCTGGAAGGGTTGGCAGCTGACGAACCAGGAGAAGGAAGACAGAGAGAGGCTTCTGGGGAGAGCAGAGGCACCAGGCACGAGGACATCAGATGCAAGATGCGAAGGTGTCTCAACTGAATCTGGGAGTGGCAAAGCCACAGGGGACTTTTGAGCAAGGACACTGGCATCACTGAATCCACAGGTTTTGAATGCAGTGTGTGGTTAGTGGGAGAGAGTCACTCCAATGTTCCACAGCAGAGTGAGGGGAGCACAGTCTACAGGAAGAAGACAGTGAATGTTCCCACCAAGTGGAAATGATAATATTTTAGGATATGGAAATGCTGGTCACCTGGATCTGGCCATTGTACCGTCTCTATGTGTTCTAAATTATAAGACTACACCCAATAAAGTTCAGATGTTATATGTCAACTAAAAATATATTTTGAAAAAAATAAATAAAATTTAAAAAATAGACATAATATGTGGCATAGGCTTGAGGGAAGCATCTCTCCTTCCTCCACTACTTAGAGGCCAGTGATTTGGACATTTCAAAGGTCAAAGCTCCAGGTGAGGAAGCCCAAACCAGAAAACAGGTGGTGGGGAAGGAGATGTCAGGGAGGCACTGAGAGAAGTTTCTGAGGGTTGCTTTCTCGATGTAGGGATGGAGGGAGGTGGCGAATCAGAAACAGTGGGTACAGAAGGGACACACAGCTCTGACGAACCTTAGAACAAAAAGCTGAATTGACGGATGATGCAAGCTGACATTCGCTGAGCTTCCCCGAGGGTTGGGTGCTTTCTGCGTGTACCTCCCTGCTGCACCCCAGCACGTCAGGGTGTCCATGACTTGACCAGAGCCCCACAAGGGGAAGTAGCAGAAACCAGGATTCAAACTTGGGTTTTCAAAGCCACACCCTTAGCCCCCTGCTATTGCTGCTACCAAGCATAGCTGAGCAGATGTTGGTTTCAGGGGCTCGGTGGCCATGCCAGGGATCCCCACCGTCCATCATGTTGGGAGCACCAAATTCAGAATGAAAGAAGAGGCAGCTACACAGATCTGGTCGCTTTTCTACAATTGTAACAGCGGTAGGGAAACCAGTGTGATGAGCTCTTCTTAGAGAAGGCCTGAGGGTCTGGCTATGTAGAATCTGTCCACTCTTTCCTAAGCTAAATTATTGACTAATTCACATAGATTATTCATTGGGTACCTCCTATGGGCCCAGGCCTGCTGTCAGTCTCAGGCCAGAGAGTAGGGGCTTTCCTGCACAGATTTAATAAATGTCAACTCCCATAAAGAACATAAAACTCTGCATATTCTACTGTATAGAACAGACACACGTGTTACCTACACAAGACAAACTTATAACTTATGCCACCTTAAATGAGCCCATAGAAGGTGTAAGAGGTGAGGACAGACACAAGGCCCCTCCCTGTTAAAACCATTACTGATTCTCTGCAGCCCTGCAGACAGAGTATGCTTCATTCCCATTCCCTCTTGAATCTCTAAGTTCTTGGAAGATTCAAATGTGCAGACAGCTGAAATGTAGATAATTCTTGATGCCACCAAGGCTGAATGGATGGCTAATAAAATCTCTTTGAAAATCACCAACGTATGTCTAGAAATGTCCACCATGACAATGTGGACAGTGGAAGGCAAAGACCACTTAATTATCTCTGCCGACTGATAAAACTAATCCAGATTTTATTCTCACATGGACTCTGATGAAAAAAATTCTCACATGTGATGAACCTAATGGATATTTTCTTGTACAACTTTTGCTCTTGTCTAAATGATAGCAGATATCTCGCTGTCCCTGCGCCAAGTTTATTTGTGTGCATGCTTCCAATTGGCAAGCTCCTTAAGAGCTGCGACCCTCTTCCAGGAAGGGAAGGAGGCAGGAGCTGTAAAAGTAAATGACCTGATATTACCACCAGGCTCAGCCACTTGGTTCTGGTGTGATCTTGGGCAAATCACTATCCTCTCTGGACTTCAGTTTCCAATATGTCAGTAGGATCAGCAAAACCCAGCTCAAAGGTGGGTGGTAAGGGTCAAATGAAATAATACAGGAGAAGTCCCCAGAATCATTTAATCTTGACTTTTCATGGAAATACAGTGGGTTGCAAATTTGAATAGAAAACAATGAAATTCGATGCAGATAAAATATAATTTGGATTATCTATGATAAGAGCCTTGGAGGATCTGGGAACATTCATGAACCCTACGAAATTGTCTGCAACATATTTACCAGTGGGCGTATTTGCATTTTCCTTCTGGAAAGAGAGCCCCCTGATTTCATCATGCAAGAACCCCTTTAAGCCCAGAGGGCCACCCCCTGCAGAGAGTGTAGCTCACAACCAGCACGAAAATCCCTCTGCCTGAAGTCCATTCTTCCCAAGGCCACTTTATTTCGTGGTCAAGCCAGATGGACACAATGGCCTGCTCCTTTCTCCTGGACCTGTGACTCTCTGGTAGGCATATTCCCTATATTCCTTCCTGAGAGCTCAGGGATGACCCGAAATGCTATTGTCCGTTGGAAGTTCACCTTCTTCTTCTGTCCATCTTCTTCTCCTCCTCCCCCTCCTTTCGCAGGTCTTGATCTCCAATGAACACTCTGGAATTTACTTTAGCATCACTCCTGAAGACCCTGACCTGTGAGAGAAATCATAAGAGAATCGGAGCATTAGGAGAGAATGGAAGCTTTTGACAGCATTCTGAGAAAGTAAATATGATCATCAGGGTCAAGTTCAGTAGAAAGGGCAAGAGAAGGGCAGAAGCCAATCAGCGGGACTATCATCCAGCCCACGGGGCTCCTAGAAACCAGTTTTGCAAGACTAGGAGGGAAACATTGGGTTAGATATTTGATAAGTCATTGGGGTATAAAAAAGAGGAGATAACTAGTTAGAATCCTTCTTTGGAGGCAAGAATGCTGGAGGAGGGGGTGGGTAGGTCACAGGGTCAAGGGAGACCTGAGCGTCTTGATCCTCCATGGAGATAATTTTCAAAAATCCTTTCTTACAAACCACATGTTCCCCTTCAGACAAACGTCTGAAAGACCTTGGCAAGAACAAGCTTTCAAATCTCCCCCAAATTATTAAGTCAAGTAATGGGCTTTTACAACATAAGAAGTTCAAAAGGCTGTCAGGTTGGAGCCAGACAGCTGAGGAATGTACATGGCCCTCAGAGGAGGTGCACAGCCATTAGTGTGTATCAGGTGGCCCTTATCAGAGGGCCCCATCGGCCAGTCAAAGGACAGGTTATTATGTGTGCCAGGTTGCTCAGAATTGGCCCCTCCGAAGTCAACTGAGAGCAGTGGGCCCAACCCTCCTCCCAAACCCTTGTTCAAACACAGCACAGGGCTCTGTGGTTAAGGAAGGAAGGCAAAGCTGAAAGAAGATTCTACATGGTGAGGAAGCAACTGGTTGCTGAGTCACAAGAAGCCACAGTCCTGTCTCTGCAGTTCCTACACCACTCTGGACAGCAGCCTTTCTAGGGACAAGACTCTGCCCTATCAGGAGGAAACTTAGTTGGACCATATACACCATCTTGCCTTGGTGCCTTTCATGTCTTTGAGACATACCAGAATTCTCTAAATGATGTTAGGTCATAGACGCTTCAGAATGCAAAGACACCAGTGGCCTCTGTGATAAGTTGATAAAACAGACAACTAGCCAGTCTGTGCTGAAGAAACTGCGCTTCAGACTCAAAGAGCTGACATCACGGGGGGACCATACTTGTGTCCTCTGTTGACTTCCCTCACCTACAACCCAACGTGGCCGCCATCTTGTTTTCCTGGCGTCATGAAGGGTGGCCTCAGGGAATTTCATGCCCATAAAAGACACTGAAGCACACACATCACTTTCAGACTCCTCTTTAGCTATCGGCCCATCCCCTCAAGGCCTTCCCACTTTGTCTTCTCCTGGGACAATGGTCTATAACATTGGTCGAGTCCTCTCTGGGCTTCAAGACAAAGAGGGTGAGTGAAAACATTATCTGATACTTTAGTGCTTGACAAACACTAACAAGTCTAAGATTCTGGGTGCAAATGGAAGGAACTGCATGTTATACAACTAATAATGACATCTTTTGCCTCCCTGAGACAGAGATCTAATCTTTTCAAGATATTCCACAGAAAGCAAGCAATCGTGTTGATGACTTACAATACTAAATTGGTGAGAGGGGTGATGAGATCTGAATGGCTTTTTAGAATTTTTACAAAGTACTTTCACATTCCTTTAACACTCAAACTACCGCAGACAGCCCAGATACCTACTTTATAGGCCAGATCTCACTGAGGCTACTGAAAACTGAGAGAACCTCTTTCCAGGAATAGCTTGTCCACACAGGATCCCAGACTGTTCCGATTGCTGCTCTGGGGCTGCTCTCAGAAAATCCATTTTTCAAAAGCATCCGGTGTAATTATCACCTAAGCAAACTTTGCAAAGCGTGGTCCAAGAACAGCTGCCAATGTGCACATTTTCCAAGATGGAAGCTTCCTTCTTTAAAATCTCCCAGAACTGTTAAACTTCCATGGAAAGGAAAAATTTAAAATGTGCAATAAACAGCCTCATTAAGGAGGCAGAGACCTGGGATCCTGGCAGAGTGGAGGCTGTGGAGTGGCTTCTCCCAGGAGTGCCCTGCCCTGGTCCAGCGGCCAGCACACACGGAAGCCTCGCAGCCCGGGGCACTCACTCTGGAGCACACAGTGGTTGGGTTTGTAATTTATAATGTGAGGCCAACCAACAAATTCTATTATTCAAACATGTGGAGCAAACCCAAGGAGAGGAGTACTTTAAACTAATCTTTTGCTCAGAAGCGACATTTGCAGCTCTTTTCACTTACTTTTCATTATTTCTCCACAGGGGAACCGTTTCCAGGAATTATTATGTTAAGCAGTATATTAAAAAATGAGTCTTGGTATTTTTTGCAATAAATAACAGTTCACATTTATTCAGAGAACAGAAATGCTCACCAGAACTTAGTCCCATTGTCTGCCTTAAGTAAGGACTTATTAGGAACCATCTAGAATCATGTCCTAGGAGTTTGAGCAATAACCCAAGCTCTGAATGATTTTGGTGAGCATTCCCTACATGCTGACCCCATGCAGGATGCTGGGGATACAAAAAGAAATATAACCCAGGCCTTTCCACCTATAAGCACATAGTAGGTGCTTACAGAGATCCCTGCAAAATAGAGAGCAATAGCACTTGCAATCAGAGTGGTGGGAACCGGCTCATAGTTAACCTCAGTTTCCACATAAGTAAAATAAGAATAGTGTCTGTCCTTCAGGGTCTTGGGAATGTGGTTGTGAATAACGAGTCCAAGTGCAAGAACATGGAGGCTTCTGACTGAGCACTTACAGCTGAAGCCACCACTTGTGCTGGCAGAGACTGAGGTGGGCAGGGGAGGAGGAGGTCCAGAGCCATCAGGAGGGATGAGTTCAGGGGTGCCCTGATTGCAGGCTGCCAGCACAGGAAGCTGGAAACAAGCTCCTACGAGAGGATGACTTCTATCATCTTCCGTGGGCCATATTTGGCTTTCTAGGTTGGTCCTGAGTTGGAAGTGGGTCGGGGAGAATTAGAGAAACCGGCAGTCAGTGACCTATCCCTGGGCATCCTGTGTTGATTGCTGCAGAGATGTACGCCAGCCTTCTGTGGTCCTAGGGGGTGTGTCCACACACGTTCAGCCTCTCGGGGAGACGCACACGGTGAACACATTTCTCCATGGCTCCATCAGAGGACCAAGGAACACATGTGAAACAGAGGTACCAAGGCTTTAGAATCCCAGAGAAAGCAGTTACCCACCCTACTCCAGAGTCTGAAGGGTCTGGCCTTTTGTGGAGGCTGCCAGTCACAAGCCAGATTTACGGAGACAAGAAAGAGGTGGAGATGCTACAGAGTGAGGGCACAGCAGGGCCAAGGGCAGAGTCGGGGCAGGACTCCGGTGGTGGCTGTGCTCTAGGACCCACGTGAAGAGCCAAATGGAAGGGAAGACAGAGCCAGAGTTTGGGAAGGGAAGGAAAAGAGAGGGACAAGCTTAGTGCAAGTTTGAGTTTTGTAGCTATAGGGACAGAGCTGGCCACATGAGAAAGTCCTGTCCTAAATCAAGGAAATGGTGGCAATGAGAAGAATCCATCACCTTCTCAGAGCCTGGCCAGTGTGTGTTGCTAACAGCCCAAGCCTGTTGCTCAGAGAAGGATAACCTCGGTTTCCTCAGGTCGCAGCCCTGGACTCTTGGTACTCAGGTGGACTGGCTCAAAAATACTGCAGCCGCCCTAGTCCCGTGCACTGCCAGAAAACCGTGCCATGAAAGACTCCCTTCTCCCCAGGTGGGCTGAACTCAAGCTTATGGGTGTTGCAGAACTCAAGCTTCAAATTTGAAATTTCTTTGACTTATTGTCTAATCACGCACATGTTCAGTTGCAGGGTGGGCGGATCCACACTGGAGGGGGTGGCACTCAGGGCTGCATCTTGTAGTTGGTTGGGGGCTCTCAGCCTCTCTCTTGCCTACAGTCTGGGGCCTGAGCTATTTATCTTGCCCCCTTTACACCTTTACATGCTACTCACTCACTCACTGGATATTTGCCCAATTTTTGACTTGGTGGTGCCATCAAAACTGCAGCCTGGTTACTAACCCCTGTGATGTCACTGGAAGATCACTAAAGCAACTTTCTGAGGATGAATGAGCTCCCACACAGCTTCCTAGGGATTGAAAACGTGCTGGTCCCGGGACTCCTTTCTTCTTGAATCCCATTCATCAGTGGCCACAGTCCTCACATAGACTCGATGTGGTTCTGCCTAGACTTAGGGGCCATTTTTATGAGCAAGTTTATTTCTGAAAGACAGAGTGTTGCCATGCTTATAAATAAGATCTGTGAGGACATCACATGGGCCCTTTCCCAAAGAATAGTGTCCTGTGTGGGAACCTGCCTGCCCATTCACTGGCCTTCACCCATGGTCCTGACACTGCATGGATGAACCTGCCATGAGCCTTGTCCTGCCTTGTATCACTTAGGTTATAACCTCCTCCACTGAAGGGAGTCATCCATTACTTTGACAAGTGTCCATCAGGCACCTCTGAGGGGTCCAGTACCCCTCTAGGTTCTAGGCAAAAAGCCACAATAGTCAGATGCAACACTCCTTCTGTGGGATGGTGGGCTGGAGACACAGATGATGAACAGGTGGAGAAGCCCAAGCAATGTCCAAGAGAGGCCCTTGCTACTGAGGGAGACTAGACCACCTGAGCAGAGAGGACTTCTCTAAGGAGATGGCCTCAACCATGTAAGAGGAAGAGGCCACAGACCAGAAGGGAGCTAGGAGTAGCCATGAAGAGGACCGAGGTATGAACTGCATCAGAGTAGAGAAGAAAGCCACAGTCTGAGGCCTGGTGGGCAAGAGGAGCATCAACTTAACAGGAGTTTGGAGGGTGAGGGTGGAGAAGAGCAGAGAGATCAGAAAGCAAAAAGGAGTTTGAATATCCTTCTAATTGCACTGGAAGCCATGGGAGATTTTAAGGCAGGAAAACATTACAATCCAAAGTATGTTTCAGAAAGATCATTGGATTGGCTGGGTAGAATCAGGGCAGGACCACCCATGCTGAGAGAGCATCTGAATGGCTTTTTCCATGGCCAAGTTAATGACTAGGCTGAGCTGGAAACAGCAGGGAAGACAGAGAAGTGGACAAGGTCGGAGCCCATTTGGAAGCTCTGGGTTAGCAAGTCTTATGTATATGTGTGCGTCCAGGGCTTTGCATGGTACAGCATGCACAGTGGGTAATCAACAAGTGTGGATTTATTTGGGATGTGTTGGACTGAATTAAATTGAAGAAAGATACACTGATTGGGCCAGTCAAACGTGAGTTTATCTTTAACTTAAAATTTTAACATCAAGCACTTTGGATAAAAGAGAAGCCACTCTTTTTCACTCTGCAGGAAGTTCAGATCTAAATCATATTCAAACCCCTCATATATATTATGTATATGCATATATCTAGCAGCACTTATCTGATCATAAAAGGGCCCTTTAAACAAAGCTGCCAGTACTGCATATAACTTCCATTTCCAGCTGAATTCATTTCAACACTGGACAGATACCAAGTCAGGAAGGAAAACTAGAAGAAAGTCCTACGGCCACATCCTCACCAGGTCCTCATGCCATCCAAACCCCCAGAAGGAGGAGATAAACTACACTTTCTAAATTAGTTCTCCTTTTTGAGATATAGAGAACTTTGAAATCAAGAGATTGGCGGACTGGCCAAATCAAGCTATAAATTGGCAAAATCACCTATGCATTCTATTGAAAAATAGGTTGATACAAGGATTTGGCTGAGGACCCAGGAATATTTGACAGCCAGTTTCTGCAGAGAAAGAAATATGCACAAAGGATTCTAATTAAGGGGAAAAACGTGCCACTTGATTAATCTCTGAACCTGGATCCAAATATATAGTACAGAGAACTTATGTCATTTGGGGTAGCCATTCCCTAATGAAGCTATGCCAGGTACTATCTGCTGTGTGGCATTGACCTGACCCCAAGTTCATTTACATGTAGCAGATTATAAGACCAAGGAGTTAAAAGTAAGATAATGCCATGACATAGAGCTAGGAAGTTTCAGATCTGGAATCTGATCCCAAGCGTGTGTTCCATCTGATTCACTGTACTTTCCCTAAAAACTAAAAGTGGTGTTGTACCACCCCCAAATCATAGCCCAATACCATTCCAAGTAGTTCTCCCATAAAAGCTGACAGAGATGGGGTTTAATGCTGAGCCTATTGGGAAGAATGTGAGGCCTCCCACCAGCATCTCAGCAGGCAGATGTCCTGAGTTTCACTCTCCTGTCCCTGGTCACCCACCTAGAAGATGGAAGAGCACTTCCAACATTTCAAGGAATGTTAGGATATTCTGAGAAAAAGGGAGTTCACCTTCACTCTATGCTATTTAAGAAAATGATGGCTGACCAATTTATGATTTCCACTGTCATTAAAGGAAACCCGTGGGAACATCAACCTTAGATTTCTCTGCGTCTCACCTGCTCCAGGACAGCTCATGTGGAATGCCTGCATGCCCACGCATCTTGTGTAAACTTGGACTTCTCCACCTCCAACACAGGAGAAGAAGGCAGGCAGGCAGAAACTAAGGAAGAATGAAAGAAGAAGCGAGGAAAGGGAGGATGGAGAGAAGGGCATGGAAAAAGGAAGGACTTGACTTCGATCTCTTTCAATAATAATCAAAAGCTCATTTAACTCACCTTGATTGACACTCAGCTGGTAGCAGACCCTGTGCCTGGTTGCCCCCATGGAGACTTATAGATGACACCACCTCCAAAAAAAAAAAAAAAAAAAAAAACCACACAGAAGGAGCTGGGGTAGGGCCACATTGTATTGGGATGATTTTCCTGAAATTGAGAGTCCTAGCATACATACCCTGTGCGGCTGATCATTTTTCATAAATTCCCATTGTTTCATTTGCTCGACCCTAAAAAGTTATTGTGTTTTCTCCACTCCCACCCCATCCAATAAAATAAAACTAATATCATGGTGTCATTTGAAAATATATTTATGTTTGTTTTCCCTATAAAAAGAGATAATAATGTTATGTTCCAATAATATTAAGTTGCAATGTTATTTGCAAGATTGCAGAGCTTTTAATTTTCTGATTATTTCCACAGTGGGAGTTTCAGCTCAATTTCGATGAAGACACTTCTATCTGTTTCGGTTATTTTTTTATTACAGCTAGAAGCAACAATAATTGCCTTTAGTGTAGGAAAACATCACGGAGGAGACAATTGTTGTCCCCAAAGAATAAGATCATCAGGGCGAATTTTGATGTAAAAAATTTGTAAATTAATTGCAGAGTCCTATAAATATTATATTTCCTAAAATTGCATTGTTTGCGGTGCTCAAAGAACTCATCTTTTTAAATATTTCTTTTAAAGAAATGGATTTCTTAAGAGACACGGCAACAAAGTGCTAATAATTCCTATGCATATGGCATCCACAGGATGGAGCGAATCCAGTGGAGATTACAAATCCAGCATCCATTGGGTTTACTCATTGGCTCTCAAACTTATTGGCTATTTGATCTTTATTAAGCAAAGTAATTCTAAGTCTCAGTTTCTGCTACTCAGAAAAGGCTGCTCTGAGATTATAGTAAATCATGTGTATGAAATGACTCGTTGCATAGTCTGGCCTAAAGGAAGCACTAAATTATGGGCAGCTCTGACACCAGGATGTGTTCAGGCTGCCTGGTATCATTAATTCAGCATGTGTTGAGCACCAACTGTATACCTGCTCCCACCACTACTACAGGTACTGGAGGTTGACGATGAAGATGATGGCAAAGGTTCTGATGAAGATGCCAGTCTGGTGTCACTAGAATACACACTGCCATGAACTGGTGAACCCTAATGCAAAAGATCCCAGAGTGAACTCCTGCAGTACTCAGGCATGCCTATAAAAATTAATAACAAAATTATTCTCTGCATGGCCCCTGTGTGCCAAGTGCCATCGTCCTCAACACACATACCCAAGACCCACTTTCCTTTTGATTACCTGCCTTTGTTATAAAAGTTGGAAAATGTAAACCTTAAATTTCCCAGCCTCTCTTGAAGCTAAAGTCTGCTGGATGACCCGGATCTGGCCCTTGAAACATAAGAAAATATCTGATGAAGATCTATGCAGGACTTTTGCTTTTATTTTACAGGGACAATCTCATCCTGGTTTTCTCACCCTATACAACATTTGTATGAGACGTGGAGAGTGACTGGAAGACAGGCAGCAAGAACTCCGCATCTACACGTCACTGGGATTTAGCACTGAATCTGGTACACAGTGGATGCTAAAAATCATGGTGGAAGGATGGAAAGAGGGAGGAAAGGAAGGAAGGGGGAGGGGAGCCCACGAGATATGGGGTATAAATGTGAGCTGAAACTGACCTAAAACAAAGACCTTCTGTAGATGATGATGATTATTACCATAATTATTTATTAATTTGCATGGTAATTCCAGTTATTTTATATAGCTACAAGGGAGCACATAAAGTTTCAGTGGAGAAATGTCCCTTCAAACTGCATGAGGGTTTCGGGAGCACTCTATTCGAACATGTGCAGGGGAATGACTACCACTTGCCTGAGAGACATGACTTAGGAAAGTGAGCCCGCCCAAGAATGGTACATGAGCAAGAGAAATTTTTGGAATAAACAAATATTACGTTTTGGATTAAGGAGATTCATTTCTTCCTTATATAATCCAGTTCTCCATAAACTATATTATGCAAGCCACACACAAAAATATTTTCAGCACTGAAAAAAATACTCAAGACATCTAGCTCAGACTGAAGTCCTTCACAATGTGCCTACTTGCCCCCAAGTTAATCGTTGCTATATTTTAAAACTCTCCCTCTGGATGTCTTCCTGTGCATTTGCTTACATGTGATATGACAGCCATAGCAATGGGTCCGTGTGTGCATGTGACATAGCTTCATATGAATGGGGTGGAGGGTTGCATAGTGGCCCGCACTTAGTTTTACTGATTTTTGACACATATTAAGGCAGTTTCTCAACATCTGCACACAGAAAGACCTGAGGAATTTAAACTGATGTGCAGGGTTCTATATTGAGGACATAACTTAGTTTGAACAGGGCCCTTCTTCCAGGCACAGAGGAGGTCCACGCCGGGCTCAGCCTCATACCCCGCTAGCAGTTCCATGGTGTCCACTCACACTCTACCAGTGCTTGCTACTCTTACTCAGTAACATTTTTCCAAACTGATGGGAAGGTGGATTTTATGTCACTCTTCTTGTCACGTACATTTGCCGGATGTTTTCTTAGGAAAGTCAATTTTCACATGCTTCTTGGCCTGTTGGATTTCCTGTACTCTTCAGGGCCAGTTTAGGCTTTTGGTCTTTTTGTTGTTATTTTTATTTTGCTTATTGACATGTGCTCTGCAGGTATTCAGACATTTGATATCATTCCTTTATATTTTTAATATATGTAGGGTGGTATTTTCTCCTAGATTACCATTGGTCAATTTTAACTTTTTTAATATATAGTCTTAAATGTTGATATTTTCAGATAGACCAGTCTTTCCTTTTTTTTTTTTCTTTTTCTTTTCAGTACTTGAACCCAGGGTCTCACACACATGAAGCGAGTGCTCTACCACTGAGCTACCTTCCCAGCCCAATGATCTTGTGTCTTGTTAAAGAGACATATAAACATGAAGGCCCAGAACATATTCACCTAGGTTTCCTTACAGTGTAAGTGACAATATGAAAATAATTTTTGTGCAAGGCATTTTCCTAAATGGCTTCAGATCTGTCCTGGCATTAACAAATTTGAAACTACTTTGTTAAGGCCCTTGTATTAAAAAAAATATAAATGAATAAACTCCTGTTTGTGTTCGAATGGATTGAATTAAAATTATAGAAAAATTATGGAGAATGTCGATGTTGATCCTTCCCACTCACCACCATAGTGTTTTCTCAATTTATCCAGTTCCCTTTCATGCTCCTTATTAAAATACTATGAATTTTTTGAAGTGATTGAGCACGTTTCTGTTGAAGTTCAGCACTGAACGCTTCCTCAGTGTTCTGGCTCCAGGGGAGTACTGCGGTTGGCTTTAAAAGGATCATTGACCTACCAACAGCAAACTGTAACATTGCAACTTTTGGCTGATGTGAGAGGTCTGGCCCCTCCTTTGCTAGTCCTGGCAGTTAATCAGCTGGTTCTCTGTGACCAACGCTTGCAAATTATGGCAGAATCACTGCTGTTAATAGACTGTAGTTAACTTATTTCCTTTTCTTATTTAACTTCAAAGTCTAGGACTTTGTTGCCAATTCACCTCTTCCCCCATCACTAGAAGGGCTTCCTCCACTAAGTGATTAACATGTATTTACTGTGTGAGTATAACAGAATGGCACTGTGTGACAGTTTCTCTACTGAGGGCCACATGATGGTGATTCATGATAATTATGATTGAGAAAGGTTTCTGTCATCTCAAGGATGCTAGGATTTTTCTTTATCCCAATTTATAGGTCATTTTATTAAATGATTTTCAATTTTAAATTACTTAGATAATTTATTTTTATATCATAGACCATTAATAATTATTTGGACAGATTTTCCACTGTTGAATACACTTTGGATTCTTTAAATAAACTTTATCTGGGTGTCATATGGAATTTTTAAATACATAACTAGAATCTCTCTTTTTCTAAATTCTTTACCAAATAATTAAATTCAAACTACAAATAATTGTATCTACTGTAATCTCACTAAATTTTTTTAAAGCATAGAACAAATCTTAGAAGAAAATAAACAAAATGTAAAAATGTTCTCCCCTGATTGATGGAATTATTGGAGACTGTCTTCTTCCCACTTTTTTGTTTGCTTGTTCGTTTTTTGGATCCATTGCTTCAAGACTTTAAACAAACTGTAAAAAGATCATTTTTTTTCTTTAAAAAGTACCTGAGCTTTTAAAATCAAACAGGCCAGGACTTCATTTCTGCCTCCACCACCTCACAGTCAGACTTGGCAGAGAGGCTGCCACACCAACACCTGCTGCTCACCTTGCTGTGGGGGCAGGTGACTATAAGATGCCGTCACAGGTGTTTCTTCTACAAATGGTCATCGTTACCTGTGGTATTCGGTCAAATCCGTGGCACAAAATCAAAAGCAAACAAAAAACCCTGATATGTATGGCCTTGTTCAGGTAAGGAAACAGGGTGAAAGACTGAGTTTTTCACTTTTCTGTCTAAAGTTTTGTAAATAGTCTAGGCGCACCTCCAACTCTGCATAGGTTGAGTGGGAGATGGGTCCACCTGGACCTCAAAGCCAATAATCTTCTTTCCATTTAAAATCCTGAAATCTTTCTTGAGATGCCATAGAAAAGATTAGCTTAGCTTTTTCACTTCAGTTATTTTCATCTCCAAAGTGGATACAATCAAAGCACTTAGTAAAAGTTTTTGGTGAGGATTTGCAGGAATAGCTAGCTGTTATCATTATTCACCTGTAATAATGAATGACCATTTTTGAGTTCTTACCAAGTGCCAGACACCACTTTAAGTACCTTTCATGCAAATACTTCTTTTGCGGCTCTAGGAAAGATGCCCTTCCCATCCCTGCTTTGCAAATGAATAAATTAGGCATAGGGTTCAGAGAAATCCCTCACAGTTTTCGGCAGTAGAACTCATCAGTCAGAGCTCTGTAACAGACCTGCAAGCATCAACCAGTGCTTGGGAAATAAAATCAGAGCAAGCCAAATAAGATAAGGCCCCATGTAACTTCTGCATCCAGACCAAGTTTTACTTATTAAAAACTTGAAGCTACTTTTTAAATGGTCATTTCCGCTTGGTTGGAGAAATTCTCAGCCATTGGCCAAGTGTTGGTGGGTTCCCAGGGCCTAGGACAATTATATAAAGCACTTGGCTTGGGTTGGCCTCTCACCCTGTCCTGGCTGGTGAACCCCCATGGCCGGCACGTCCAGAAGTCTGCATGCAGAAGTCCTGGTTGTATTTCCTAGAACAAGTCATGCAAGGACTCAGTAACATGGAATTTTTACAAAAAAACAAGTCTTTTATAAATACAAAGGTAAGCTGAAAATTTTTGTCCTATTTTTTTTAAAGATGGTTCTAGATGCCAAAACATGGAAATGTGTTGACTTGAAGATGGACATTTTTATTTTTAAAATCTAAAAATGAATCCCTCTGCTTCTCATTGCCAAGTTTAAGATTCTGTTTCACAGTAGCTCCGATTGCTGAGACTTTTCCAATATCTGCTGGAAAATGCTTGGGGCCTTCTGAAACTTGTAGCCTGCATACTTTGAGGGCAAGTTGCATTCTGATATAGATGTTAAAATAAGAACTCTGAGAGTTTTAGAAATCTACTGAAGGAGATTTTGATTAGAAAATGGTTATTCCATTATCAATGGGAGGGAAAAAGATTTCTTAATAAATGACCCCTTTTAAAGGCCAAACAAAAGAGTCTTGGGCTTAGATTCCATTAACCTACATTCAGAATATCTCACATTCATATTTTTAATGCAAATGATTTCTGCCTCTCTCTTCTCCCAGAGTACCTCGTGCATGGCTTGATCCTAGCTGTGCCCTGATGTCGTTGATGTTTTCTCTTGTTTGGGGTTTTCAGTGTACTTTCCCATGAGTTGGTCTCCCCAGCTCCATCAAGAAGATGTGGAATTGAATCATTTCTATTTCTCCAGCAACTGTCCTAGGACCTGACACCTTCTATTTCCATACGGCATTTGAACTTCCCCAGTTCAAAGAGTGACCTGTCCGGCCACTAACAGAGCATTCCGGCTCTGTCCCTTCAGTGCCCTGTTCAAACACACAGGAAGACAGAAGCAGGAAATCTTGGGAGTATTTTCCTCTCCCAACCCTGCGTGCACAGCCTCACCTCTCAGGCTTCCTGCTGCTGCGTCCCAGGGGTTGTCTCTTCTGTGGCTCAGAAGCAAGCAGCTGCTGGAAGGCTCTGGCTCCTTCTAGAACTGGCTCAGGATTCGTGAGCCTCAAGGCCCTGGGAACAGCATGTCACCTCCTGAAGCCTAGATGCCCTCATTTTTAAAACAGGAATTCTGACGTAGTCCTGTGGGTCTCAGATGCATCACGGCCAACTGATGAGTTACCGTTAGAGAAAGTCCACGGTGGCAGTCTCAGAGGGCTGGACCACGGGGGTCACCTTGACAGGACAGACTCCATTTTCCATTCAGGAGTGTGGCGTCCTGCAGGAGTAGGAAGAAAAGATGCAAATGATCAGAAAACATTGCTCCGCCCTGCAGAGTTGCTCTCCTCCTGCTCTTAGGTGTGGGCAGGGCTGCTCAGGAAAGTTCGGCCACTTCTCTACAGTCGCTCATTAGTTAGGATGACGTGCCCAGGGTCAGAGCCACAATTCCTGACAGCCCCGGTGTTAACCCCATCAGTGACAGCAGCAGCAGTCACACAGGTTACAGGATGCTTCCAGGGCATTCCACCTGGAGGCTTTCCAAAGGCAAGATCGGGCACTTCTGAAGAGGACCAAGATGACCAGAGGTGGCAGACACATTCCATCAGAAAAAAATAAAGGAGCATCTTGGTTTTTTCCACAGTAAGGAGCCCCTCTGCAGCAAGGAGCGTCAGTTCTCCATTGACCACAGTGGTGTTTCCTTTGCTAATATCATTGTTCAGGTACGTTATCAAATTTTAAAAAAATCAGTTTGGATTTACAAAAAAAAGATTAAGGAAGTGATAAGATCACAAAGACCTTTAGATAAATGGCTAAGTTTTGCCAACCTCATGCAAACAAATCTCCATTAAATCTTCATTCAAACTTGAAGACGGAGACATTGTTCAGCCCACCTTTTCATGAGGGGACCATACTCAGGCAAGAGATGGACGATGTTCAGTTACTAAGGCACACATGGAATTGTAAGAGCCATTGTAACCAGAGGCAGGATTTCTAATTTCAGCACTGGTGGGGATGACGTCATGCCTCTCCTGGCTACTTCCATTAATCTATGAGTCCTGTTCCATTGGATTGCCATCTCCCCAAGGCGATGGGTTACCTTTAGTGGCTCTGAAAATAAGCCATCGTGTCCCGACTTGAATTGTCACCTGCTCTCTCCCTCAGCCTGTTGAATCATGACTACCTTTTTCTTTGCAAGAAAAATTCGGAAAGAGTTTTCATCTGAGACCCATCTCTCAAGCCTCAAGTTTGAGGATGGAAACTAGGGGTGTGGAGAGGTACTGCCCCAAGAGGGGAGTTTCTATTTGGGGGAAAGTCAGTCTCCTCAGTTCAAAGAAAAGCATATTCCAAAAGGTGGAGGGGGGTTAATACACACAATACAGGCAGCATCTTGAACATCAGATATCCCCAGAAATGAAATGCTGATCTATGAGTAAAGAAATCAGAACCATATGGCTTCTCCTCCTTAATTGACATATGGGTTTTACAAAATAGAGAAAAACACACTTGGCAAAATGCATTTCAAATTTTACTCAAACCACAAAACTTTAAAAATATCTTAACATGTCTAATGAACCCAAAATGTGTCCTTGTTCACCCACATCAATCTAACACCGTTTTAGCAAACATCTTTACCTTCTACGTGCCAGGCGCGCTCACACAGACACATAAAAGCTGGGACGAGGAAGCACGTACATGCCGAGAACAGGGTCCTGAGGTGCGTTTGTGTGACAGGCCACCAGGCCTCAGAGGAGAAGGGAGAGAATGAATCTCAGACCCAGGGCAAAGGGTGGGTCTGAGAAGGGCTGCGAAGAGGAGGGGACCTTTCCATCAGGCCTTCCCTGGACTAGGAGCCTTCCAAGCAAGAAAGGTGGGGAGAAGGTTGGAAGCCACAAGGTTAGCAGGGACAAAGGCCTGAAGACCCAGGGAGGCCAGGGATCCGAGCTGCCCAGAAGACTGCAGCCCAAGGGCTGGAACCTGTGCAGGAGGACCCTGGCCAGAGACAGTCAGACACACTGGACAGTCAACACCACCCAGGGAACTGGCACTCAAATATCTCAAGAACGTGAGAGTCGCGGGAAATAAAAGGACAACTTTTTGACTATAAAATAATGTATACTTGTGACTTTTTTAAGTGCATCTTCAGTTTCCATCTCCCAGATAAATTTGACTTAAAGAAGAACCACTGCTTCCTATGTAACATTCTGGAACTTTCTACATGGCTATCAGAGGATGCGTGTGTTCATATTCTTAGAGGTACAAACCTTATTGTACTTAATATTGTAGAGGAGGTTTAAGCAGAGCTGTGACATTAGCAGAGATGTACTTATGAAAAATCTCAAGCGCCTCCAAGGACACCTAACAAATGCTGTGCCCGTGCGTGGATGGTACCACATGGCAGCGCAGGAGCGTCCAGTTGGGTTACGCCCCCTCCCTGCATGCTTCTGAGATCTTCCTCAGATCCAGACTTTTATGAAATGTCTTTTACTCTTTTTTTCCTAATGTGCTATTTACTTCCATTCATAGAGTAGCTTCAGTTCAATAAATGATGTGTTTGCCATCAGAACAATTTGATTCTCGTTCTAATTATAGCAACAAGCTGCTTCCCCTAAGCATATTATGGGTGTTTCATTATTTTAAATTGTTATCTTCCATATTAATTACAGAAACACTTGATCTTTTCTGATAAGCAGGCAGCTGCAAATTCCCTTTTTATGTCTCATTGTAATAGGTGAGTCATCAGGTAAGAATTAAATCAAATCCTAATAGGAGGCAAGAAAGAAGCACATTTAGGGTGCTTCTATTGCCAAGTGGAGGCACTATCTCTACTTGGCAGGGACTTGCTGCTTTCCTGGGGCTGCCTGGCTCTGCCGCAGGCAGGTCACACCCTCAGCCACTCCTTGCTACTGACCAAGGTCTCCTAAGAGCTGCTCTGAGGAAAATGGATAATTTGTACCAGGAGCAGATCCGTCCTGCCGTGGGAAGGCAGAGAACTGACCCAGGAGGTAAGGCTGGTGGGACATGGTTCTGGGAAAGCCACTCCCTGCAAGGAGAGAGGCCAGAGGTTTACGTGACTCAGCTGAGATGTCACCGATTATAATCAGAAGGGGACAGGTGGGGCCATCCTAAGTCAGCCCAGAGCCTGAACACGCTCAGACAGGTCTCCGGCCCTCCCTTCCCTGCGGAGGCCCACTCCCATGTCAAGGCTGACTTGGGGGCAGAGGCCACCTGATTCTCAAATAGTGCCTTCCATTTGGTGTGACCTTCCAAAGCTCAGGTGCTCAGCTGGGCCATCGCCCACCGCCCACTGCACATTGCATTTCTGTTCCATCTCGAGGTGGAAAGAAAGGCCGAGAGAAATTGTACGATGAGCACATGATAAAAAAAAAAACCCACAACGTGAGAGGAGACAGAGATTAATAAAATAGAGGAAAACAAGATCACAGCAATGTGCGTTAGACAGCTCTTCACTGATGTTCAAGTTGAGTCAAAAATTTAGATCTGAGCTTCCCAGCAGGGAAAATGAAGCAGGAAACAGTCTGTTATAGGATCTAGGGAGGAAAAGTATATAACAAGTCACTCCAAAGAGTTCAAGTCTAGAATAATTTTCTCCAAGCTGGCCTCATAAAAAGATGCGAGAGCTGTAAGTGGAATTGACAGCCTCCCCCTGCAATTCCTCGAGGTAAGCCCTTTCCTGCAGTCCTAAGCCAGGCAGAGGTTAGAACAACAAGGGCATCAAAGGCCCTCCACGGGGACATGCCCCCAAGCCCCTGGTGGTCTGCATTGGTTTGACCTTGAATAAGGTTGGATGTGAAATGCTTCTGCCACAAAGAATGTGAAAAGAAACAAACAAACAAAAGCTCCCAGGAAGACTGAAATTAAGCATGCAGGGAACAGAAGAAGGGACCCTTAGTACAATATCAGTGTGTAAAAAGGAGGAAGGCTATGCAAATCTCTTCCCTGCATGATATTATCACGCCCACCCTCAGGTACCAGTGTAGCCCCGCGGCTCTGGTCAATTAAACTCTTGGCCAGGATGGAAGTGGCGGCATCTGCACCGTCCAATCTGGCAGCCACCTGTGGCGACCAAGCTCTTGCCACGTGGCCAGTGCAACAGGAGAACCAGGTTTCTAATTTTATTTTATTTTAACTCATAAGCATAAAGAGCCGCATGGGGCGGGCTGACTCTGGACTCCGCGTTGTGCTTCTCGGAGCTTCAGTTTTCCATCACTTCAGTGAAGAAATAAAAAATCTTCCTTTCATCTCCTGAAAGTTCCTGGAGCTATGCCTGCAAATGCAGCCAGCGCAAAAGTCTCTGCCACGCATGTGTGAACGTGAAGACACAGGTCTAAACGGCTGGACAGCAGAGCCAGAAGGAAGCGGCCTCAGGGGAGAGGTCATCCAAGAAGACTGTCCCTGTCTGTGCTTTCTTAACATCAGGAAGGCATTGACATTGGACATGTCAAACTTAGCTTTTAGTAGAGTTTAAGAACAACCTGGCGTACAGTTGTTTTCATGCCCCCCACCCCCGCCTTCATCCATTTCGTCTATGGACACCTACCAAGTGCCCACAGTACCCTGGCCTTGGGGGTCCCTCAGTCTGGATGGTGCTCCCCAGACCTGCCTTGCACTCCCCAGACCTGCCTTGCACCTGCTCCCAGCTCTCATCTCCAGGGAATGTCTGATCCAAGCCCCTGAGCCCACACCTCTGGGCATTGCTGGAGTGGTCTTTCCACAGGCAGGCAGAAACTCCTTGACCAATCTTAGTTGAAGCTACAGCTGTCATCTCCTCATAAAACCTCGAGCCACGCTGAAGGGCGGTGTCTTGCAACATGTGCATGTCAAAGGCATAAAAGATACGAAACACACATAACAACCCAAGGGCGAGTCTGAGGCCTCTCAAGGGAAAACCCCACTTCATGCCATCTGCTGGGTCCTCTCACAGGGGGTCGCTGGTCCACTCTTCCTGAGTCCCGACCTTCCTACAGAGCCGATGCTTAAAAGTGACACCTCAGACCTCAACAGCTCATTGCGCTCTGTGTAAGCCACACAGAGGCGCCTGATCACCCTTAGGAGACACTAGAAACTCTTCAAAGGTCATCCCAGGCCCTTCTTCCCCCAGCCTTGCCCTGGGATTCCAGATCTACCTGTCCGCTGCCTGCTCCCTGCTCCCGATCTCTGGTCTGCCTGCCTCTCTGGGCCCCTGGGCATGCCCCCACCCCTGCACTCTCCCTATGATCCTTCTCTGTAGCCCTTCAGGTCCTGCCCAGCCCCACCTCA